AATAGACAAACATTGTTTCCATCTAGAGTGTCTCTCAGTCTGTGTTGTCTTTTGTCTAATGCATAGTTGGCTTTCTTTTTAACCTTAGTCATATGCCTCATCTGATTTGCGTTTTGGGATAATTGTACTAGACACATTTTTGTCTGAGTATTTTATGATCGACTGGCACATATACGTGTTCCAACTATTCTTCTCTTGATGCTCGGTTTCCTACATTACTTGCTTCATCTATCTCAACTTGTCTAGTGCTTGTCTTGCCTTGACTATTCCTTATAGGCTTCGTCTGATATTTCAGTGTCTCATTCTGATGGTAATCCTCTTCCGTCTGTTAGCAGACTTCGTCTTTATGCTTGACTAGTCATCATTTGATTCTTTTATCTAGTTTGTACAATCTTCATGGATTGTTGCATTTAATGCCTTTGATTTTGCATTAAATGTTTTCTTGCTGAATCTGCGCTTCATGAGATCTTTTGTACTATATGTTTGCTTTTCTGATTGGCATTAAGATATCTCTGTACTTTCCTGATATTGTTACTACAGAGGCGTTGTCCTTAGCTGACTGGTAGGTGTACTTGCTCTGACACACGCATCTTTGATATGTGGATAAGCGCTTCTTTTATTTTGATGACTTCATGTGTTCTTCAGATGTAGTCCGGCCTTCTTGGTTTATGTCTGTTTATTTGAATCTTTGTCTAGTCAACTATGCATGCTCTTGACTTCGTCTGGGGTGCTTTGACTTAGCTTTGTTCAGCGTCCATGGTCTTGTATCATCTGAGGCTTCATTATTTTCCTTCTTGTGCTGGGCTTGATTTCGTTTGATCGTTTGATCTCCTCATTTGTCGTCTTGTTAGCTTTTTCCCTTTATCTTGGTTGCTCGTGCTCTTGTCCTTTATTTCCTTTGTGTCTACATTTGTGGGTGTTTTTGTCTGATGTAGTTTCTTCTTTTGCTAAACCTTTATCCAATGCTTGACTCATATCTCTTGATTCTGGATAGATGTATATTCTCTATTCTTCAGCTTACCTGTACTTATATCTGAAACACTAACACACTTGTTAGTAATAACAATATGTATTATATTTGTCTCATTCAAAACCTTGCTGAAAGTTGCTTTCGTCTTCGTCTGACTTAACACCTAATGCTTATGAGATTGGAAACTTTTGCCCTATAGCTTTATCTAATTTTAAATATCAAGTCATTTCTAAAGTCCTTGCTGATATACTTTCTTCTATTATTGATAAAGTGGTTTCTCCTCATCAAAGGGGTTTTATCCCTGGTAGGAGCATTGTTGATTGTATTGCTTTAACATCTGAGGCTATAAATTTGTTGGATAAGAACTTTTATTTTGGGAACATTGCTTTGAATATTGATATCCACAAGGCTTTTGATACATTGGATTGGAGTTTTTTAATAAATGTCTTAAAGGTCTTTGGTTTTTGTAATGTTTTCTACCATTGGATTTCAATTATCCTCAAGTCAGCCAAGTTGTCTATCCTTGCTAATGGTCAGCCAATTGGATTTTTCTCTTGCAATAGAGGTGTTAGGAAAATGATCATTTATCTCATTTGCTTTTCAGTATTGTTGAGGAGGCTCTTAGTAGAGCATTATCGGCATTGGTAGATTTAGGGAAAATAAATAAGTTTGAGGGTGTTAATCAAGTTCCTTTCCATTCTCATGTTTTTTATGCCGATGATATTATGATATTTTGTAAATGCTCCCTTCAAAATCTTTCCAATATAATGGAATTGTTACGCTCTTATGGTAATTTTGCTGGTCAACAGTTAAATTCGTCCAAATCCAAATTCTATTTCAAAAGCTCTATGCCTTTAAAAAGGATTGAGCACATTGGTCTTTGTTTAAGATTCTCAAAACGTGCCTTTCCTTTTAATTATCTAAGGGTTCCGATTTTTAGGAGCAAACCTAAAAAATAGGTTCTTTTACCTATTGTTCATAGAATAAAATCCAAGCTAGTAATGTCGAAAGGGATCCTTCTCTCCTATATGGGATGTGTTTTACTTGTTAAATTTATCCTTCATCGTATGTTAATTCATAGTTTTCAAGTTTATAAATGGATTATTTCCTTACTCAAATTGATTGAGTATTGGTTTAGGAATTTTCTATGGTTTGGATCAATTTATTGTTCAAAACCAAATACTATTCCATGGCATGTTGTTTGCTCTGATGTAGATGAATGTGGCCATGGTATTAGGTCACTTGTTGATATCAATAATACATATATGTTAAAACTATGTTGGAATTTTGTCAAAGGAGGAAAATATTGGGCTTCTGTCTTAGCCAGTAGAGTTTATAAGAGAAATGGTGAAGTTGTTCATTATTTGACATCTACTATCTAGGCTAGCATAAGAGATATGTATTCATCTATTAAGATTCATTCTACCTGGCTTATAGGAAATGGTAAGAAGGTTAATTTTGGGAAAGATCGGTGGCTCTTTATGCCTTTTGTAGATATTATGAATATTGATGCCTCATTGCATTCCAGGTTGACATCCTCTATAGATTGTTTCATTCACAATGGGTCTTAGCATCTTCCTTCCTTTCTTCAAAGTAGGATTGGTGACCAGATCACTAGCATTGTCCTTCCCTTCGTTGAGCGTGAAGACTCTCTTAAGTGGTCTTTTTCCTCTAATATAGATCTATCTTTTAAAGAGGCTTTCTCTTTTATTAGACAATCAAAGCCTAAGCTCAATTGCGCTAAAAAGATTTGGTATCATCATCTTCCCCCCTCAAAATCTTTTGTTCTATGGAGGCTTATGCATGATAAGCTCCCCTCTAAGGATCTTCTTAGAAAGAACTTTATATGTTCAAATTGTTATAATGCCTATGAAACTACTACTTATGTATCTTTGAATGTCCTTTTTCCCTAAGTCTTTGGGACTAGTTATCTAGAATAGTTTATAATAAACCTTAGAGTAAATTAGCTAATTTTGTGTTGTTAGTTGTTATTACTTTTATTGTTGATGAAATATGGCATAGTCAAAATCAAATAAAATTTAAAAACTCTTTTGTCAAAATCGATTTTCTAAAAAATAAGATTTTATCTTTAGTGAATACCTGTTGTTCTTTTACTTCCTATTCTATGAAATCTAATATTAAGGAGTTGAATCTTTTGAAAGCTTTCTTGTTTCCTTAAAGGTCAAGAAAAGTTGTATCTAATGTTAAATTTCATTAGATCCCTCCCCCACATGGTTGGATCAAGTGCAATATAGATGGAGCTTTCTCTGCATACACTTCTTTAGCTTCTTGTGGGATTATTTTCAGAGATAGCTCGATAAATATAATTGAATGTTTAGCTAAGTCAGTTATGGTTAGATCAACATTGGAAGTGAAAGTTTTGGCAATCACTCATGTAGTTGAGATTACTCATGATCATGGTTGGATGCCTTTCTGGCTAGAGTCTGAATCTTTGCTAGCCATCAAGGCTTTCTACAGTCCTTCTTTAATACCCTGACATCTTAGTGTTCAGTGGTTTATCATGCTTAATTCTATTAGGAGTATGAGATTTCAATTCTCTCATGTATATTAGGGAGGGATAGCTGTGCTGATAACTTAGCAATGTTTGGTCTTAGACACCCTAGTTCTTCTTGGTGGATTATTGTTCCCTCTTGTATTATTACTTCTTATTCTAGGGAAAGGTGTGGTTGTCCACACTTTAGGTTCTCATAGGTGAGCAATGGATACCTTTTTGTACTTGTCTTTCATATTTGTTTAGTGTTATATAATCTTTTAATATGTTGTAGATGCTAGTTGTGGGTTGAGGTGTTAACCTAGTTAGGATTTCTTTCTTACATTGTGATACCTTAGCATATCTATCTTTTTTCAAGAAGAATATAAAAAGGTCCCATTTTATCGGATGTCCCCGAAGGGACTAAGAATATAAAAAGGTTAGGCTTAGACTTATAGAAAAGTCTATTAGGCCTAATAGGTCAATCTACTTATTTATATAATATAATAAATAAATATAAAAAAAAATATATATATATATATATATTATTAAAAATATAAA